GGTTTTTGGGGCTAAGTTCCTATATCTTGTAAACCAGAGGGGTAAAGATACCAAGGGAAATGGATGGGGGTGGATTTAGGAGGATAAAACCACAGAACTTGGGATTAGCTTCTTGCTTGGTGACTCTTTATCTTCCTGGACTGTTCACATCTCAACAACTTGTGCATCTGCAGCCGGTGTCCGGACCCCCCTCCTCGGGGCCAGCTGCAGGAAACCCCCCCCTTCTCCCGAGCAGCATTTCCAAGCACGCCGGTGAGGCTGGCATCCCCCTCCCAGCCCGCAGAGCTCTCAAGAAGAAGAACCTTTATTGAAAGGGGAGCAGATAACGGCTGAACGCAGCCCTCGTGTCGCTGTGGCTGAGCAGACCAGGGGCTGACTCACCCCCTCCTGATCCCCTCTCCGGGTCTGTGTCATGGGTGTTGTGGCGCAGCTCCGTTAACCTTTGGCTCCTCGTGCCCTGCTCCTCCCTCGTCGGTGATGTTCGAGCTGTTCTTCACCCCTCCCAGCTGAAGTGCTGGTTTTCTTTCTCTCCCTCTTATTGCTTCAAGCAAAAGGCGATTTCTGCCCTGGAATTGGTTTCCCGCGTCCCTGAGATGAGCTTTGGGGTCTTGGTTGTATCAGTACCCTCCCAGGGTGGATGCTGCAGCCTGGGTCATTAAGCTTTTCCCTCATAACGTTGAGTCAGAGTTAGAAATCCAGCGTGGCTCGCAGATGCACCGTCCATCCAAGGATTTCTGTGATGCCCCATGGCTGTCAAGAGGGGGTGGGGGCTCTGACATGCTTTCAGAGTTCCCATTTCTCCTGGTTTGCAGCGTAGGAAGAGGAAATGTTGTGTTGGCGAGCAGAGCGCTGAGTATCTGCCCCGCTGTGACCCCGGCAGCGAGCTCTCCCGTGTGCCGGCCGGTGCCCGTTGTGGAGCTGGGGTCTGGCATCTCCTGCTCCGGACAAGACCCTCCGATTTGGGGTTCTGCGCACCCCCCCCAGCCAGCACAGCCTCTGTGCAACATGAAAACATCTCGTTTTCCCTGGAAATCTCGTTTCCTGCCCCGTTCTGGAGTGGAGAAGGGGCAGGACATGCTCCGTGGTGTGCTGCGTGCTCCCCCCCGCCACTCCCCATGCTGCCGGGTCTCTGCCTCTGAGCTTTACCTTGGCATGGCAAGCGAGCGCAGCGCCGGTCTGCAAGCACATCCCTCATCCTGCGAGCTCTTTCCTTGTGGGACCAGCCCGGCTTCCCGACCCTCTGGCTGGCAGGCTGCCGGCTGGCTGCGGGATGGGAAGG